CAATGATCGTTCAGAGACTGTACTGCCACTTGTCCAGCCCAATGAACCGTAATGTGTTTACGTCTCACACACCCTCTCCTGTCCCTCTTACTGTTGCTCATTATACATGAGCTTCACATGTAGTGGTTGTTAAAGATCCGCCATCACACCAACGTCTATCAATCCATGCGCGACCGAGGTCGACGCCCTCACCCCCGAGCCTGTCGTCTTGGACATGCACTCATTTGTATACCTATCAGGCAGGTGTTGAGCTCCTGGAAACAACCATTGGACGAGCACACCTCAGCCACTAGGCACGGTGAGTCAAACCGGCCAAGTACCTAACTTGCGAAATGTGGAATTTGTAGGACATTGACCGCCCTGTTTATTAACTCCAAGGTCCGGTGGCAGTGGCGACGGCCTTGTGCAAGGTGGTATTGCACTCCGTACATTGAAACTGGTTTGCGGATGCCCTGTGCAACAAGCCTAGAACCTTGATTCTAGACGTTCGACCCAGACGGGTAGATGGACGAGCGAAAAAAGGCAGGGCACAAAGCCTTGTGCTTGCGTGTCTTGTCAAGCAAGCAGGCCTTATGTGAATCACTAAGTACAACTGCCATGGGCCGCCCTATGAACTGCGTGCCAACCTGCGGATTCCTACATCGGTCCAACCCGCACCACAGAGGCTGAGGATGATCACAAAGGTCTGAGCACTCAACAACAACCTGGAACAAAGCCTACATGCTGTGGCAGCATGAAGGTAGCGGGAGGCTCGAGCTAGGCATGGCTGGAGGGATGGAGATACCCCTGGATCCGTACAGACAAAGCACCTAGGTTTTTGCAGGACATATTACCCGCAATGAAGGCTAATTCTCAGGTTACCTTCGGAGCACCTTGAATAAGCCTGAGCATCATACGGAATACCACAGCATAACCTAGTAGAAGGTACAAGGTGGTGCCGAACCGCATCATATCCGAGCCCCACCCGATTTGAACGGATAACCTTTCGATCTGGAGTCGAACGCGTGCATCGATACAAATCGAGTGACCCACGTACATGTGGCAAAGCGAGTTCTGGACGAAACATAGGAGATTTGTCGACGTTTCCGCTCTTATTGTTTGCAAAAGTTGGCTGTCTGGAAAGCCACGATGCTGGCGGTCGAGGCTGGAAACAGCGCCGTCTCCAGATCCCATGTGGAGCGCAGAGCCCCGCACCCGCCGTTGCCCTGCTTCTCCACATAGTCAGAATTACCGGAAGTCTAGCGTGTCGGTATCTGCGGGCAGTGCCTTTCTGATGTCGGGTGACGTTATGAAGAAAGAAGAGAAAAAAGAATCAGGGAAATGAATGCCTCGAGTCGGAAAAAAAAAGGAAAAGAAAATACTTCTAAAGAGAAAAAAAGAGGACCACGCTTGGAACTGAATCAAGTCGATCAACATCCATGTCGGACCTGATTACGTAAGGTTACCTTCCGGTAATGAGGCAAAGAGAAGGGCGAAACAAAGACAAGAGAAACGCCAATGGCTGCAACCTAAGATCCCGTTCTTCCCCGTGCCTGAAGAAGAACAATAGGCTCCTTGAGGTCTTTGAGCCCCTCGCAGATCTTTGTGCTGCAATCGTATCCTACCTTGCCCAGGCCTTCCAAGCCTGGGCTGCACTCGTCTGCTAGGTTTCCCTGTTCTCACCTTGCAGTTGGCCACGCGTGATGCTTCTGCCAGTCTGGCTGCCTCCATGCCTTACCACTGAGGACTGCTAGTGCCAGACTTTGCACCAAACCCGTAGATCTGTACTAGAGACGTTATGCCAAGCCGGTCCGAGTAAGATATTTTAGTCAAGGTCTACTCACCTTAATTATGCTCGCACGGGCGGAGAAACCCTTATCACCGAACAAAATTCAGCCTTGCGGTGGGCCGCTCGGGCTGGTGGCGTGGGACATCACACTCGAGGACCGTGGTTCGGTGTTGTGTTTGTCGCAGTCACATTCCGTATCGATATCCGGGCTTCGTTGCCCAACAGTCAAAAACGGAATCAGCTTTAGTACCTTATATATTGTTCGTTTGAGAACACAAACAGCAACCATTGTCAAAAGCACGATAATCCGAATTGGTGCGCTTCATCCCGCATGTAGGTATTGTAATCAATACGTGCCAAGTACGGTAGTGGAACCGAGTCTCGTCACTAACATGCCCGCACAGTCAAAGCAACTCGCCTGTGAGCAGACCCAAGTCACCGAACTTGATGTCAGATTGGAAAAGAACCGTAGAATGTCATCAGAATCATCTAATATGGGTGTAAATGTAACGCAGATGAGCAGTCAATTCGGTCCGCTGCACCAGTTACGACGGGGAGGGAGCGAATCACAGGTGGGTTCAAGCTTGATCTGTGTGGCCAAAGCGTAAACCTAACAGGTTGCCGCTTAGGTTTTTTTGGTGTGCAGGCCAAACCCAGGCGGCGCTGCTCGCACACCCCTTCCTTCGCCATCAGAAAGCAACTCCCAAAAATTTTCTGGGGTTCTGCTCTTCCTTTCCCACCACCACCTATTTCACACCACCTTGTGAAAAACCCCAAGGAGGAATCGTCTTCTACCGACAGATTCCCTTCTCCTCACCCGTAATTCCACCGATATCTCTCCTTCTCGAGGTTTTCCCATCGAGAGAACAGAGATATACATCTCCACTCTTCTACTCTTTAATTGCGAAGACGTTGGACCTCGCGAGAGATTTCCAACACGGTCGCTCTCAGGTCGCCTTCTCGGTTCCCTTGCGACAACCCACACACCACACTCTTTCACCATAGAGTTTCTTCGACACTCAACCACCCGATTCCTTCGAGTGCGTTGCGATCCTTTCACCGACCGCTACATCCTGCGCGGTCAGAAATCGATAGACGATCGATCATTCACTTCTGTCTGCGCGACACCCCGGATCTGAGATTCGCCGTGGAGTTGGACCGACCCGATATTTTCGCCTCTCCCAAGCTCACCACGAGCCCACAGCAAACTTCAAAAGGCATCGGCTTTCGAGTCAACAAGCACCCTCTATGACTTCCACTGCAAGTCAAGCGAACCAAAATCCGGCCACTACCCCCGCAGCTACCGTAGCAGCACCGTCGTATGCTTCCGCCGCCGGTGCGAACAAGAAGCCGACTTCCTCGCCGCTAATCGCGACGGGCTCTCACCCGCCCGTGGTGGTTGCGTCTTCCGCGCCTGACCCTCAGCATGGCAAGCCTGCCGCTCCCCAGCCGGTGAACGGAAGACCCAACATTACGCCCGCGGTCCCTGTCGCACGCGGCACCTCCGTCAACGGCGGCGCAGCCGACCACACCCGCAAGAGCTCTGTCACGATTAATGCCCCGGCCATGGCAAATGGCGGCCATGCTGGCGCTCACAAGAACATCCAGTTCGGCTTTGAGTCGCCGGCTATCGCCCACAGCACGCCCCAGATGGGTGGCGCTGCGCCGATTCCCATTCCAGGCAGCGGCAACCCAAGGATCCAGTCGCCTGCCCACTCGCCGTCGCCGATTCC